CTAAGTCAGTTGAGTCAGCTGATTTGTCGTCGGATCTCATAAAGCCTGCTGTTGAATTACCAAGAATGACCACTGGAACCAAGTCTTCATTTATACTGACGCCATCCTCCAAACCAACTGAAAGTGAACCGCCAGAGTCGAAGTCCAAAGTACACATGATGAAGCTTCGATTGCGAGCAAATTCTGTCCTAGTTCCATCAAGGACTTATGATACAGAAACATCGAATCTCAAATCCCTGCTGCATGAAACCGAGTCAGCTCCATCTGCAGTGGGATCGAGACTCATATCGAAAACAACCCTTGAAGAAACAAATAACCGCGTGGATCCAGCTGACGTAACTCGGTCGCGGTTGGCAAAACCAAGTGAAACATCAATCGTCCAAGCTATGAAAATATTGGGAGACAAAGAAACAAGCAGCGATGAAAAGGATAATGTAGCAATCAAAGATGCATCTAGTTTACACGAAGAACAACATGGAGGTACCGAGAAAACGTCCGAAAAAGGACATACAACTATAGTGAACAGTTTTTTCAAGAAGCCAACAGCCAGTATGCGAAATTCATTGACAGATCTTTCTAGTACTATGAATTTCAATAAAAAAAGACTAATAGTATCTCCACCCACGGATATGGAAAAGTTTTTTGGAAAATTAAGTAGTCCGGGTTTAAAAGCTAGAAGTTCGGTTCATGAGGAGGAAGCTGGGAAAGCTTTGATCCGGAAAGCGGATACCAAAAACATTGTAAGGACATTAAAAGCGGATACTGAAACTGCTAATCTAATGCTAAGAAAGCGGAGTAGGATTCCAAGAGCTAGAAGTATGAAGCGGTTTAATTATCTGAAAAGGCGGGTATAAAGGCTACAAAGTCGGATACTCAATTCTCAAGTGAAATCGACCGGAACAGGTAGCAAGCCTTACAAAAATGGAACAATGCACACTTCACACACGCCATCATCCATGCAATGCATAGTGATGTCTAGCAAAGTCATTTCAAACCGGAAACGGCATCCGAAACCGGAATCTTATTTCAAAACCTGGACGACTTTATAAGTCGGTAGCATCATTGCTTTTATAGAGTATTCCGATTGTTAACAATATACTGCCTAACGATAAAGCAGTGCATACGGGATAAAGTACTGTCCCGGTCACTTCTCACATAACGTCCCGCGAAGGGATCAATTTTTGTAAACAAAACATCGTAGATGACTTTGTAATTCAAGGCAAGAAGCACAAACGCAAAAACAAGCAACAATTTAGGCGGACCGGAAATTGTTACATGAAAAAATAATGTTAGATTGATGGTACATTCTGATAATTTTGAATATAGGGTGTGACTGTTGTATTTAAAATTACGTTACATAGTTTGTGGGTTTGGATTCCCATTGAAAAGAACGTTGTTGCAGATACCTTTAAGGACTTATTAAAAAGAATCAAAGTTTATTTAGCAATAATTAGAGAAGGCTAATAACCATTCATGAGCAGTGTAGCAAGATCAATAATCCCCCATGGAGCATGGCACAAAACTGCTAAATTGCCAACGCGCTACAGCCAAGGGAAGTAAAAAATGTCCTGCTTCTTTCGGCTGACATACGATCTGGCAATCAGGAAGAAAGTTCTAGAATTAGTTACACACATCAATACCCAAAACCAGATGAAATCTGGGAATTAAATACCCATTACCCATGCTTGCAAAAAATTAGTAATTAGTAATTAGAAATGGCTATCATATAACTGCTAAAGAAATTTGGTAGAGGTGTTATTTGTTAGACTTTCATCGAAAATCAAAAGAATTGTTTGTAAAAAGAGAACAAAAAACAATCCGTTGGCAGCAAAACCCAAGTATGATTTAAAACAATATTTCCTCAAATAGTCTATATATCTATGTTGATGTGTCAAAATTTAGATTGATCAGAAAAGTTCGAGGGGCGTTTCACTTTCCCTTTCCAAAATGGCTAAAGGACCCTGAAAATTGTTCTTTTACCCTGAAAATTGTTCTTTCAAGTCTGCACGTAAGTGTTTGTTGTTGATTAGCAAAATCTAGTAAAACTTTAGTGAAAGCCAAATGTAGTCGCTTTTTATACGAGTTATATTTGGATATGTATATAGCTTCCCATTCAAAACAAATCTTACAAAGGAAATGCAGTAATTTTAAACTGAACTTTTATTTTCAAATTAGAGTATTTTGTAAAATGCTGTTGTCTTTGTGATTGTGTCTGTTTTACGAGCTTTGAAGTTAAACGTTTTGAATCAAACGGAACGATCAGTATCTTAGACAAGTTCGGCTGGTTCAAAGCCCAGGGTCAGACACATTAAAAAGCGATCCAAGTGGTTAATACAATCAAAGGCCCTCTCCACACGTATACGATATTTTTGATTCTGCAAACTGTTCTTAACGTATAGGGCTCATTTCCACACGCTGCCGATGACTTCGCTATCGTATTCGCAACTTTTCAAATTCGCTCTCCAAAGTGTAAACTTTTGAATACGTTACGAATCCGATTACGTGTGGGCGCTCGAATCTGGATTTATCCTAATCCGATGACGTATACTTGCTAAAGTGTGTCATGGCGCATGCCCTGACGGAAATTGATTCGAATACGCTACGTGTGGACGCGAATATTTTTGAATCCGTAAAGAAAGGATTGCGTAAGCAACATTTATCAACAGTATTTGAAAGGCCTTTCATTCAAGTCAATTGTTTCTAATTGATCTTCGTTCAAACACATTTTCATATGCCTAAGTAGTTAATTATCTGCTGCATGAATAATGACTCGTGGAAGAAAGTTTGCTTGACCTGGTCTTGGATTGTTGCTGAATATTTTTAAGTGAAATAACAAAGATCACACCGAAGAGGACACCCACTTATCATTAGGCGCTCACGAGCTTAATAAGAAAGGGAGCAAAAGTAGATCCTTGCAAAGAATTTTTTTCTCATCAAGCTCACGAGGGCTAGGAAAAAAAATGAAAAATAGTCTTTTCGTTGATTATATATCCAAGGGCATCTAAACCTCCCCTGGCTTGGCCTGGGCACAGCACATTGACACAACACATGTCTTCAAATGGCGCTTCGGATAGAATAAATCAAATTTTGTAGAAACACCATCCGTTGTAGTTTATCTTCGCTGAAAATAATATTTCATTCCTTCTGGCTTCTTTGCATAACATTGGAAACTTTGCTATCGTTTGGAAACGATACCAAGATCCTTCGTAGTTAAACAATGTAATGTGATATCTGAGTAAAAGTAACGAAAGGATCTAGCAATAGGAAATTCTAGTGCGCATGCTTAAAAATTCGTTATTGGCAAAACTGGCCCAAAACAAGTTTAGAACAAGTTTCAAGCAATTATTTTCGAGGAAAGTTTTTAATTCTAAGATAGGGCCGAAATCATCTTTTTATAACGATAAAAGTCAGAGGTAAATTCAAAGAAAAGGTTAAGTTGAGATGGAATAAATGGCCTTTTAAGTAACCAACACTAAATGGATGCAACAATTACACACGCATTTTGCTGGTGATGAAACAATGATAAACAATATACATAAAAATGTAGGTTCCATCCGGGCGACATTAATTGAAACCTAGTTTAAAGCTTTTGGCACGTTGTGAAAATCTATCAAAGCAGAGTTCAAAGGTGATGGTACGCGATATGGCAGTGCAATGGCTTCAAGAAGTCCAAAGGTCATGAATCATGAACTGACAAAAGTGGTGTTAGATATAACTACATTTTGATGGAGTCTTCCTTGGAGAAAGCATAGCTAGACAACAGCGAAGTTAAGTCTCCATGGCATTTGGGTTATCAGCAATGTCCTCATGAAACATGAATTCTTGTTGATATTCTTTGAGGAACTGAGTCGACCTGCCTTCGTCGAAAAACAAGGAATACACTCGCTTGATATCTTCAACATCGACCTCGGTTCCCTACAAAACAAAGAATTGCAAAGCATATAGAAAAAGGAAACTGTACAGTCCGAGCCTTAAAATGTGATTAAAATCCCAAAGAAAAAACAGAATGACAAATCAGCAATGACGTCATTTTAAAGACCCAAGATGTATTAGGCGGAAGAATCATGATTTGGCATTATTATTGAAGAAGGTGATAACGAAGAAAGATATTAGTTCGAGATCTTTGATGTCGTGGAAAACAGAACCTCTGTATAGAATATCGTAAAAACAGTGTGCCGTGCCACATTTATGTGCCGTGAGATATTGTCTCGTGTGCCGTGGAAAATTCTCCGATTTCACCTAACTGGACTAAAAACAGGCCCAGGTTTCACACTGACTGAATAAAAATATTTATTTTTGTTACAAAATACTTTTTTGTGTTCATTTGATTCCTTTTCGGACCCTTCGAAAAGGACGATTTTATATTGTGAATATTGGTCGCAGAGTTCCTTCATTTTTAATATTTTCTGTTGGAGGTGTGTTTCATGAAATGGAGAATCTTGTTTGAGTTAAAAATACAAACAGTGGTTTATGGCGTGTAGTGTTGGTGGTATGGGTGGATCCGAGGTGAATGTCCTATTTTCATTAATTCTTTAATTTAAATGCACAACAGGTACAATACAATACGGTTATAACTCTCAAGAAAAAAAGAAAACAAGAAAAGCTTTTACGAAAGCTTGGACAATAAGTTATTGTTTGCTTTCTCCAAAATTGAAATGACATACCTTCCGTTTTCTGCAACAAAGATTTGATGCGGTGATTAACTGAATGGAGTAACGTAAACTTGTCTCTTGGCCAATTTTAGTCAACACTGCAATAGCATCGTCTGAGATTTCTACATCTTCTTCCTCGCATCTGTTGAAAAACATGAGAAACTAGGGTAAAACTGGGGTAAAACTGGGGTAAAACTGGGGGTAAAACTGGGGGTAAAACTGGGGGTAAAACTGGGGTAAAACTGGGCAATAGATCGAATTCTCCCATAGAAATGTTGATACAGGTCAAATAAACTTGTCTTTGCAATTTACTTTGTAGACATTCAAAGGAAAGACAGATAGTAGGAATGTGCAAACAGTTATGGATAAAACCAAAATATTTGTTTCTTACAAATTATCAATTACAGTAACTTAACTTTTGTAGATAATTCACAAATTTGAATTTTTAGAACATAAAATCATAGCAGGCGAATCACTGGTTTGAAGTTAAATGGTTAGCTACTTTGAGAGGTCTAATAAACGCTTTTTGAATGAGAGTTTTAAGATACTTATTCGTCGACAAACCTGATGGTAAGTATTTTTCTAATCTCTTTTTCATCGTATGGTATTGTTGAAATGATCAAAAGGCGATCCAACAAGTCTAAGGGTATGCCATGAGGGCTTGCATAGTTGGTGCCACGAATTCTAAGAAGAAAGATGAACCAAATCAAACAAGAGTATGAAATAATGTGCAGCGAAACTAAAGAGGTAGAAGATTATTCAGAGAAAGGCAAAAACACCCAAAGCTTCTTCGATGTTTTCCAATTTGCCAGATTAACATAGTGCTGCATAATGTAACACAATTCCTAGTCACAAGAAACACCGACGGTGAGCTGACTGAGGTATTGCCATTGTTCGTGAAATCGCTTTTTAAAAACCAAGAGTCTTTAATCAAACTTGTTACCCTGATTATTAATCCAAACAGTCAATAGGCCAAATTTTTACAACCTCTATGAATACTAAAAAAAGTATCCAATCAACAAATTTTATTTTTAACACATTTCAAGTTGCTTTAGAAAAGAAAGAGCAAAATAGAAACCAAATCCTACTTTGTTATTCCTCTGTTTGTAGCCATGATCAAAATAGGAGACATATCACTCTCGAGAGCACGATTCAAAAATGAAAAACACTCGATGTCTAGCATGTGAACTTCGTCAATAAAAAGTACCTGAAAAAGACGTTATACTGGAATTATATAGGCGCTCAGTACGGGTAGAGCTAACCATAAGCAATTTTTGCAAAACTTTTAAAATATCAGCTACATTGACCTCATGTGTGTTAATGGGCCGAAAAGAAATTTGAGTTTTTGATTCGGATATTTTCACAATACATTATACAACCCTTTCCTTATCAAATTTTGCGGCAGATTTACACTCATTGATCGATTAAAAAGTAACTCTCCCAGAAACATTGTGATTATAGCTTTTCACACACTGATCGAGGGCAATATGGATGACAATTTTAACATTTACAAAATGCAACACATATTTCCGTCTATTGGTTACCAAAAGTTTATAACTAAACTACCATAACAAGCAACCACTCCCATTTCGCTACTAGACAGTATGTCTAACTTTGTTTGACTTTGACTCCATCACATCTCCCTAGCCTTGTTATTCAGTACTCATTCGATACGTTTAGTGACATATTTGACATCCTCGCCACTGAGTCATAACGCCCGCTTTCCAATATTTATGCAACCACGTAGGATTTCGACATTTGTATGAAGATATTATTCACACAAGGCGGATGTTCCTCCCATCAATACTTTCCTAGCATTTTCAAACATTGTGTACACATTTGACATGAGTGCCTTACGTCACAAAGTCCAGGAAAAGTTTCGTTCTTTTCAACTACATGTGATACATCTCTATACCATTTAACACGGCTCTGATATCTACATTTGATACGGCACCTTGTGAATAGAGCTTTAACTTGTTTTTAAAGGTAATGTGTCCAACTAAAGCAAGTGGCTCTGTGGGAGTTTTCAGGAACATGTGATTTTTCATATCATCGCCCCAGCCATTACGATCGTTCTGTTTATTTACCCTATTGCGAGGTTAGCTTTTCATGTGAGCAGTTTTGCATCGCAAGAATACTAACCAATCGCAAGCCGTTATTTTGATGGGTGGCTTGACAAGTTGGGTATACGCAGTCCTTTTATATGGACACATTACCTTTAAGCGGCCGTGATTCATATCCATTCGCTATAAATAAAAAAATTTGATCAAGAAAGCATCATACTCCTGGCACAATTTCTGCTTTTCCTTCTTCCCTCCATTCAGCTACTTTTGTGTTTATTTGATCTCTAACCTCTCCTTTTATTTCACCAGTGTCTCCTATTTAATAAAGAATATATTTCAAAACTATGAGAATCTGCAGCAAAACAGCGATCTAATCTACTTCAAATAAGGCTTTAGCTTGGAAATTACGTCATAAATTTTTAACCTTTATGTTGCATTTGCTATGTAGATACTATTCTGTCCAAAAATGTCCATTTGTTGGTTCTTAAAGAATTTCACGATAATAGAGATGGCAGTTTTTAAAGTAATTGACACAAAACATTCCGCGGTAAATCTTTACAACTTCAGAAACAATTAGCGGAGAATAAAATTTTGTCTGCATATAATAAAAATTAAAAGACAGAGTAAAGGGTTTGTAAAATTTTCTACAGCCTTAAAATGCAACTGTCAGGAAATCTGTTGTAAATTTAGCAACAAATTTCAGCTCAGTAAAACCTTTTATGATAAATCTTATTGAAAATAAAAAGTCTATTCACTCTTCAAAAAGGCTACAAAACACTAAAAATCCAATTAAAATATGTACGTTGCGTGTGGTACTTCATCCAGAATAACCTAAATTGATTTGCTAACTATATTATCGCTACAAAACACTCTACATAATCCTTTTCATTTACAATCAGACATATTCTTGCAAAATCTCTCGTCAAAGGCAATCAAAACAAAAATCTTGATAGTCTCCGATGATCTAGTCAATTAATTCTCTCAATAAGGCCGAAAAAGACTGTCTAAAGGTTAAATCTGTGGTGGTAGTCTGAGTCAGAAAAATGGAGGTTGCCTTGATCAGCTCTCATATTTTTCACATTTCATTGCTCTGAACAACTTTGAGTAACTAATTCATGATTGCTGGTGAATGAAGTGAGTGTTGCATGTAAAACAAGAGTGAAAAAGTATATAAAGAGCATGGAAAAAAGCTAGTGTAACGAAGTCAAAACTTGAACAGACAGCCATTGCTAAACATAAAAACAAAAATAGCCGGTGTAACAAGTCAAAACCTTAACAATCCACCTCTACTAGAAAACATTGTGGGGTGGATGTTACCTGAGAAGAGAGCGAGGAACCCTTGGGTCCTGCTATTGATGACGTCAATCTCATGTAGTGTGACAGTATGGACAACCTCTTTTCGTTTCTGGAGTTCACCTTCAGGACATTGGACGAACTTAGTCTGTGAAAATCCAAGACAAAAATGATATTACCCATAAATCATAATATGAACAATTATTGCACAAAGAACACTGAAGGAGTTTTGAATACAAAAATGGTCATTTGAGAAGGAACGATGGGCATATTGTAAGAGGGTATAGGAAAAATAAGGGGAAGGAAATATGTTTTCTAATTTCATGCTTATTATTTTTCATAGGGTAAAATTATTGACTAACTCGAACAGAGAGATTTCTAAGGATCTGTTTGTGAATTTGTTTCAACAGGAAAAATATTGCTCCTTCGTTATGACATATGTCCCAAATAGTGACTTGATTGAATGAATATTTTGAGAGTAAACTTCACTTAAAGTTTCACTGCCGCAAAAAATTATACTGATAAACCATAAAAATATTAGTAAATGGCTTTGAAAAAAGCAAACATTTTACAACATACTAAAAGCTTTTTCGTCTGACACTCCTCTCCTCAGAGCATAAAACGTCAGAATAAGGTTCCGAAAGAACACGATGGAAAATATATACCCAGTTGTGGATCGAAATAGGCCAATCAGAAAAGCACAAGACCGGTATAGTTGACCAATCAGTGCCGCGAGCCTAAAGAAAAATTACCACTGGAGTCCCAAGTTCCTCTGAGGAGTGTCAGACGAAAAAGCTTTTAGCATGTTGCAAAATGTTTGCTTTTTTCAAAGCCATTTTCAAATTCTGTACCGCAAAAAAATTGTTCACAAATATTAGTCTGAAATTAATAATTTTTTTCCTCAAAATCAATTTTAAAAAGGAGAAACACGAATGTAATGAAATAATAAAAAAATAGTCGTTAACCTCGGGACCCATTGCATCATAATCACGTGCTCTTGTGAATGCCCTTCCAAGCTTTGAAATTTTGCCAGTTGCTTTGTCTATTGTGATGACGTCACTGTTGGACAAAAATACGACACATTCATTGACAGAGCGAAGTAACTTTTTATCAAAAAACCAAAATAGGTACGCCCTTCTCTCTCTAACGTTTACTTCCATCTATACCTACATACTAAAATCAGCTCAAATTTTGACAATTACAAGTTATTTGTTTTATATTATGAGGGAGTCGAACGAAGAGTTTCCTTATGGCTATGCTAAAATACCAGAGAGAGCTTTTTCGTGCTATTTTGCTACGATTGAGATGGACAATTTCCCCACGAGAGATATCCAGGCTTGTGATTAAGAAGCAAGAGCAAAATTTACAACATTAGGTCCTCACCCAGACTGTACTTTTTCTTTTGTCAACGATTCAATCATTTTTGCACCAAGGTCGTAAATGGTTTCCATTTCCGTAGTCTTTAAAGTCAGTTTACCCACTTTGACACCCTAGAATGACATTAACAATAATCACTTGAGTTTTGGTGACTGGTATTTTGAGCCATTGATTTGAGGAGATGTTATACGACATACGACAAATCATATTTAGGTAACTTTGTACCTGTAGAAGAACGCAAAGATCTCACTCAATTCTCACCGAGGAGGCTGCCGAAGGGGCATTAAGAGCAGTCATTTCATCCTCCAGTGGCAGAGTTGCTAATGACAGGTTAATCTTCATTGTTCAATGATATCATTTATGTTTAATAAGGTTTACATAATACCTGAGGTTGATTTCTGTATATTGTATATATAAAGAAAGGGTTTGTGGCTGTTATGAAAAGAAAATTACAGATAGAACAATACTGTTCCGTTTTCTTTTTGAAAGTGAGCTAACCACTATTCATTTATGAACCAAAAAAAGTAATGCGGAAATTGGCCTAACACACCAGAGCTTCATAAACGTAAAATAAAGGAAGGTTCACTCAACTGCACCAGTGGCTGGTCGATCAATTTGAATTTCAACAACTTCTCCTTCAATAATCTCGGTTTCTTCCCTAGATGATAAATAGAATATCTAATTAACAAAGCTAAATCAATCAAATTCAGTTAAGAGTCTCTAAGGGGATAAGAATATCTTATGACAGACAGGATAAGAAAAATCACTGTCGTTAGTGCAATCTGAAAATTAGAGGGGAAAGAGACAGGGAGCTGTCTGATTAAAGAAGATTTCCTTCAGGCAGTGAGTATGACAGGTACTTCCTTAAAGAAGATAGGTACTTTCTGGAGATCTGTTTCAAGCTTATTAAAACCATTACATACTTGATTCTGATACCAATGGATTTTCTAAACGCCTGTGTCAATGCTTCTGTTTTGCTCATTTCCAAAGAAAATATCTCACTGCCAGCCATCGCAGTAAATGGTGTATCAGGGCCTAGCGACTGGGCCATCCCTGAAAAGAAAATAAAGCTGGTAACATGTTTTTACTTTTCCACATGTCCAATAGAGTACAATATAATTGAAACCATTACATTCTATACTTTCCCACATTCACTTACAAATATGTAAAACAAATTATGTTAATTTGATGACATGCTATGATTACATAGATGTTCAGCTGAAACATCAAGAGAGTATCAAATCTTATACTAAGTCTTATATCATAAGAAGTGAAAAAAGAAGTAAATTTAATTGACTAAAACTCAAATCAATTGATCAAGAAAATTCCATTTTTGATTGAAGAAAAATCTGCACAAGTATTTGTTGGTCTTCAAAAAATTAATAGAAACAGAAAAACAAAAAGAATTAGCAACAAATGAATGTGTTCTTTCATCTACCATGTCTTACCCATTGCAATTGCAGTTTTCCCAGTTCCAGGCTGTCCAGCTATTAGAATGGCTCGACCAGCTATCTTCCCTTCCTGCAAGAAAGTAAAATGCAATGATTTAGCATATGACCAATATTTCATGTTGGTGTGGTCTAATCAAAGATCTAACAACAAAGATATTACTTCAACTTTAGAGTAATAAACTCAACTTATGTACTTTGCATTGGTCAACAACCAAATTTGAAGCCCTCCACCAAAGGCACACTTATCCATTATTTTCTCTACAAATTACAACGGATTTGATTGAATGATGCATGTGCAAACTGGGGTCCTCCCTCTGGTGATGCCTCTTAAAATGCTTTATTATATATTCAAATTACTATACAAGGTAATCATTCTCTTCATGACATCAACAATGCCCTAGGTAAGCCATTTAGACCTTTAGTAAGATCTAGGTACTTCCTTCATATACATTTACTGTTTCAGTCACTGACAGCTTGTACTTCTGTTTTTGAAATTTCAATCTTATTTGATGTTTTTAGAAACAAAAAATTGGATGTTTATCTGCTATTAAATGCTCTTGTACCCAAATAGCAGGACTTATATTATATATTTTTTTGTCTTTTTGGTCCCGTATTCGATATAAAACGTTGGGGAATGCAATGTTAGGGGCGCATTGTCCTGGGCCACGGCATTGTGTGGTAGGGTGGCCAGTTCCTTTCCACGCCGCTTCTTGTATATTATATATACAAAGATTAAATTATAGTTTTTAGTTTTCCTTGAATGAACTGCTTATAAAAAACTTACACAATAGCTATATATATACCAATGTAAAATAGATTATAGGATAGTTAAAACTGAGGGGTAGAGAGGATTTATTGCCCCTAACAACGGTTAAAGGTGAGCAAAAGAAACACACAATGCTTCTAAACCATTCTGATTTACTCCTACTACTTACATTAAGGTAGAATGTCACATATTTTCAGCTGTAAATGCAAATTTTTATTGAAAAGGTACACAAAATTGATGCAGATAAGATTGAAAAAGACTTACTTTTATCATTTCCACAATGACACCAGCTGCCCGTCTGGCTTTTGCCTGCCCAACCATACCTTGGGATACCTAGTGTAGGAATGGGTCATTAGCAAGAGTTGATTTTTATCAAAAAAGGATTGGATACAAATTTTAGATTCTTTAAGGTCAGGTCTTATAGTTGGTAAACACTGCCTAAAATTAAATTTTTGCTTTTCACCCAAATACTGAGAAATGCTGAACTAATTGCCTTTCCAAACAGGTTGAATTGAATTTTCTGAAAATGGAGCAATATATTTGCTTATCTTTAAATGGGTTTTAAGACTAACAACCTATAATTTTGCCTTTCATCCTTTGATTTAATCAATAACGTAATTTTTGTTAATTATAATGAATCAAATTCAATATTTTTGTTATTTAACAATTAGCTTATAACTTATTTCAAAATGTGTATTTCTCAAAGCTATCTTTCTCAAGGCATGTGACCCTTCAGAAATTTCTCACTTTCTTCTTTGCATTATATTCTTTTAGAATATGGTTTTACTTGCCTCTCTAGCTTCCAAAGCATCATCAAGACCCAGCCCTCTGATATGAGAGTGTGCACCTGACAAAGAATAAAACCTTGTTTAAATGCTGTTAGAGTGTGAACCTGATAAAGAAAATGCAAACAAAATACAAAAATATTGAAAAGTTGAACATACATTTTTTCTCATACTATGATGATATTACTTGAACATTGTAATACACATCAATTCGACACAACTTTTATAAAAACTTCTATTTAAACCTGTTTTTTGTAACCTAAAGATACAGCTTTACATGATAGCGATCAAGTCAATATAGGTATGCAAAAATGTTCCTTTTTGGCTGCAACCTTAGGAATAGGTAGAGAGAATGATCTTATTAAGTTGTATTGCAATGTCAGAAAAATTGCTATTTTATACAAACATTTGCTATAAAAATTATATTTATTATAGATATGGTAAGAATTTGAAATTTTTCACACAAACCTATCCTTTCGATTCTAGTGACTTCTCTAACTTCCTGAACTTTGGAAACAGCTGTGGCCTGAATAAAATACTTCTGAATTTAAGGGCAACTTAGCATAAATGGCAAATAAATCTTTTTGCTCAAAAAAACCTTGGGCATAGTTGTAGCTTTGAAGCAAAATTTCTAGGCTTATCTAATATAAGAAGCTAAATACCTTTATAAAACAGCATAAAAAAGAATTTTGGTATGTCACAAATCATGGATTTTCTGCTTCTTTTCAAATATTGAAACTAAGCAATCATAGCTGACTGTGTAAGAGAAACAATTTTTTTGCCAAATAGAGAACATTCATTTTGATGAAAAAATCAATGCAAGCATGCATATGTAATATTTAGTCTGGATTGCTGAGAAAATATTTTTACAATATATTGTGGATGTTACAAAACCAAGTTTGTATCAATTTGTCATTGCCCATTAACAATGTCAGATAATTACCCTGACCCTGAGATAAGGTACCCTGAAAAGTACAAAATTTTTACAATGAATGTATAAAGATAAATGTACATCAGCCTTGCCATGCTTCTATAAAGGGTTACTATAAAAGAATGCAGTCATAAAAATTTATTTTCAAAATTATGACCAGAGACAAACTTAAAATATTTTTTGAAACACCTCTAAATATACAAAATCAGTCAAATATTTAAAAATCAGTTGAGAAATGGCCAATGAAAAATTCTAAGTTTGTTAAAGAATAACTTTTATTTTTGCTCTGTTCATAAAGTTATGAACAGGGGCCAAATTACAAAGATTTGATAGGGAGAGAGCCTGTGCTCACGTGGCCAAATTTCAGCCTAATTTTAAGACCTTTAACTAACTGATTTTGTACATAAATGGTATTTCACACTCTTTTAGGCTATGAGATCCAAAATCAAAGATTTTAAAAATGGATATTTGCAACTATATCATAAGGAACTCTGTTAGGCTCAATGCTATTTAATTCTCTCATGTAGCTTGTCAGGGTAAGGCACTTTTTGAGGACCAGTCAGGGTATGGCAACTGCAGTGTGCAAGGGTAAAGGCATTACACATAGTTAGATATTCTGGTGTGCACCTAGAGGAGAATTCATATATGGCAGAGATATCCAACAGGACTAACAATTCCCCAATGTTTTTTAAATTGTTCTGCTTTTTATGGCTTGCATATCTCTAGCATGAGCCTTACATGGGTTCCAGCTTGGGTGTGCAGGAACCAATTGTGGTTGCAGTTTGGAAAAAACCATTTAACTTAAGCAAAAGAGCACTCTTTGAAATTTTATTTGTTGTAATAAACAATCTTAAATAAATTAAATTAAATATGTGCTGTCCTTATCTTCCGAGTGTGCAGAGGGTGTGGTGACAAAACGTTTTCCAAGAAGCAACAGCCCCAAGCTTCATTCCCTTTTCTTCTTCCAATAAACAGGTTAGATTTGATTTATTTATGATAAGGTAAAGAAACAAAACAAATTTTGTTGAAAGGCTAGCTAACTGCATAGATGTCGTTCTGTCACATTTTGAAGATATGCCAGTTTTTGTCATGACATTTTGACGTCAAAATTTAAAGCATATCATACCGACTTAATTGAACTTCATACGAGTTTATAATTATCTATATTGACATACTGAAGCATAAACACGATATTTTGAGACTGGCGCTTTAGTGAATACGAATAAGATACTGTGAGTTTTAGTCTCTTTGCTCAAATATAATACATTTTCGTTTTGGAAATGTTAGGCCTAGCATCAACATATTTTTGAAAGATATGCTGTAGTAAAAGCAAATCAATTCAAACCCAAATAAACTATTCAAAGACTTGCATTACCATTTTGCTTGCTAACTTTCAATTTGAGAGCATAAATATTTTAAAACAGATTTCAAGAAACCGAAATTTGTTACTAGGCACTCACCGCCATCTTGTCCCGCGTGAGGTTGATCAAGAGACGCACAAATGAGAACGAGGTATTTGTTCTGCTCGTAAAACATGGAATGATAAACACGGAATCGTCATTCATGAATGCCCTTTAATTTCAAATTCACCCTTTCACCTTTTCACCTAAATATATTTTTATCTTTGAATATTAAAAGGACTTGGATAAACTAGCAAGCCCAGCTTTTTTTTGATACAACGGTAAAGGATTCTTTCCTTTGGAGAGCATTTAATTCTATTAACATCAACTATTACATCTCCAAGCGCATTGGCAATACTCTTAATTTCTAATGTTATAATTTGAATTTGTGTGACGAAACTTTGAGATTTCAGAAAATAATGGAAAACCTAATATTACGGCTAGTTCTTTTCACAGTACACTGCCAAATGTTAAAACCTTTTGCCAGTTTTGCATAATCAGCTTTTTCTGATGCTATTTTCGAGCAGTACATAACATTAAATGTGATATGAATAAATAAAAATGATAGATATTAAATTCTAAACAAATTAAAGCAAGTGTTCTTTAGCCACTGAAAAACACTGGGAAAGTACCAGTCATAGAAATGGTATCAGTCAATTTTGCGAAGGCGCATTCCGAATCCACGTATTTGATCAACACAGGGTACACCCGCATGGCCTAGCTCTCTAGGTTATGAAACGATAACCTGGGGCACGATGCCCTCCAAGAAAATGCAATGGGACTTTAGGTTTTGCTGAATTTTTCCACTGTAGAATGGATAAATCAATCATCAGTAAACGCTTGCAGTGCAAGAACCTATTCGAGTATTTAAACACGCTTCCTGTGGCAGTGTTAGATGGCTTGTATTGTCACCCTTCGACCTGTATGGCAGTGTTTAGGGGCTTACCAGCCATTGCAAAACAGTATGTTATGCGAACATTGTTTACAGACCAGCCAATTCCGGAGCCATTTGTTGCCACTTGGGTGCAAAAAGATTGTAGTCAACACCATATTGGAGCCTTGAATAAGCTAAAGGGTCTGCACATTTGGAAAGAGATGCCCAAAGGAAGTTCTGCAAGCAGGTAATGACTAAGAATTGATATGTCTTTGGAAAAGGAGCATTTCAAAGAGAAATAGTTTAGATAGTTTAGTACTGGCTTTAGGCAAAAATTAATGTTGGACTTGGAAAATTTAATCCTCTGGCTGGAAAACTTGCTTATGCTCACAGCAATGCTAGACTTTATGTGCTCACACCTGTCCCAAAATATCACTAAAGTACTTTAGTTAAGTATATATGGCCATCATTGCTTGAAGCTAATTGCCATTGGTTGCAGTGATATGATGCATGGGTGAAATCATATGGTGCTAACCTGTAAAGAGGTAAAGTAAAACATGTTTTCCAGCCAGGTCTAGCAAATCTCCACAACATGGCGATGGCACCTAAAAATTAGATACCCGCAATTTAGATTAAAAAAATTGATAATTCTGGTGTGCCTGTCATTTCAGGTGATTTTTGCATATCAGCACTTAAGGTGCTATTGAAACACCAAAGATCTTGTCAAATTTGGCCATGCTCTGCAAACTGGGCAGATCCTTGGTTCTAGTATGCTCTTTTGCCATGTGAATTAAGGCTAGCTTGATGTCATGTTTGATGGGGCAGCTCATTTTTATGAGGACTATTCAGTCAACTCTGTAGTGGAAACATTGTAAAGGAAGAAATATGGTTATAATGTTTGTCTAATAACATATTTTCAAAGGAGGCCACATTCAGTTTTTTGATGCAGTCACAGTAGAAATGCAACAAGTATTTACCCATTAACTTTGCATCCCCTCAATTGTACCATTTCAGCTTTTTAATGCATGTAAGTTTTGTTTGAATATGATCCAAATCACCGTAACTTAGGAATCACTTGATTGTGTTTTGGAGGTGTCAGGAGCATGGGTGTCACTTCTTCTAGAAAGTATCAGGCCTGGCCGTTTGAGGCAAGCGATAGCTCGCGCTCGCCTCCACGCTCCCCTCGCAACCTGAGGCGAGCTATGAATTGCTCTCCTAAACAGAACATGAAGGGAGAATCGCTCCCCTAAAATTTCCATTCATTTGCCCTTTTCCTATTCAGAGAACCCTGAAAACGGGTTAATTGGCTTATTTTTGTAACAGCGATTTCTCCCGTCACTGCATTTTTTGCAATTAACTTTTTGCTTGTTGGGCGGTTTTTGTTATGATAGGCATAAACTTCGATCTATTTGGAAAAGGATAGTTAACCGAAAGGTACGTTTGTAGCGATTAGAACCTTTCAATCTTAAGAAAACAGGAATATTTTTGGAAGGAAAGTCGAAGAAATGGGTAGGAATTGTAGATTGGGGATATAATAAGACAGCAGGTCCCTTCCAGCAATAGAAACAAAACTATCCCTCAAAGAGAATAGGGTACTCTGTCTTGCAGATCAAAAACGACAACCAAAACATGGAATTCCACTATTGAGCAGCATTTACTGAAAAACCCAGATTGGGTGAAAAACTATAATGGCGACATGTTTCGCATTATTAGCAAAGCCTGATCATCGTTCCATCTATGTAGCAGTTGGTAACATTTTCAATAGGAAAGGGGCACTTATTGGAAAACCTCAACAGTCATGTCCTCGCGTTTTCTGATGGCCTATTTTGATCCAAAACTGGATATTTTAGCGTAGAGTTTCCCTTCTATGTTCTGATGTTTTATTCTCTGAAGAGTGCTAGACGTATAATTAAGTTTGTTTCAAAATTTGTTTTTTAAAGCCATTTTCAAATTCTGTGCAACAAAAAGATTGTTTTGCAAGAGAATTGTTGTTTTTGTGTTGTACCAGCTTTACATAAAACGGAGAGAGTCTGTTCTTTCAAATACTTCAAGTAAAGGGGGTGCCTAAGTCACGGTTAAAGCAAATACAAATTGAAAGAAGTAAAACATAACACTCCTGACTGAGGCAATTACATTAAGGCAACCGACAGATACTAAAGGGGCTTATTAAGTCATCTGTCGATTGTCTTTAAAGTACATTCTATGTGTTACTGATTTAGCTCGCCTCAGCAAATGAGGGGAGCGATTCACAGCTCACCTATAAAAATACAAACGGCCAGGCCTGAAGTATGTTAGAAATTTCATAGTAATGAGCTGCTCCTAGGTGACTCAGATAGCCCATAAAGCTATCAATTTACGATAAGGAACATTATTCTTTTCTTTCAAAGTCCTGAGAAATTGCCCTATAATTTCAACATATAGCATTGTTCATGCATTTATTTGAGGTTTATTATTGTGTTTTTTGTATAGGTATGAGGTCAATAGTAACTTCAAAAAAAATTTGAAAGTTGTTTTGTGTGGTGGTGGAAAGCAACAGCCAGACACTTCAAAATATGGTGAAGACAAACATGGAAGGGATATTCCATTCCTTGAAAATTATGCAAAAGAAAGATGGGAATCAGTTCTATATTACATGACTGGCTCAACAACTGAAGGAGGTATGACCTATAAATTATTCAGTTGCAAAGAGTTTTTTTACATCAATGAAATTTACAATATCATACAAGTTAGCTAAAAAACAATTCATAAAGAAAACTTTATAATAAAGACGATACCACAGAGTGAAATGTTTGCAGAGAGCTTGTTTCGTTCATTTTGAATATGCCTATGTAGATAATTTGACATGAATCTAAGCATACTAATGCCTTTTCTTGTTTTTGAGAAGGCAGATTTTATATAAGCAGAACAAGATAAGGTCACCTCCAATATGATTCCAATTTGTCAATGTTTATCAGCCTTCATTACTGGTATGTTATCAAACAGTATTACTGGGTGGTTAAAATCTGATTTTTTTTGAGGAAGTTAATTCAGCTGTTTTTTTTCTTCGGATCTGGATTGAATGACATCATCCAATCATGAGCCCACTTTCTTACCAGGTCTAGTTCTTGGTTCAGGTCTTTGGAAGTTCTATTTTGGCACTTATTCAATTTTTGAGGCTTATATGCGGGAGGTGCTTATATGCGGGAGGCGCTCAATGGAATGGAGCGCTTATTTGAAAAATAGATTTGGAAGTAACTAAAAAAATGAATGTGTTTTTAATTGAAGCATGTTAATATGATGAAAAGGAAAAAACGAGAATGAAACTACAACAAACTGTGTTGGTCATTCAATCTTTCTTGCTGAATTGCCTTCCAATTATGTTTTCGTCTAAAATTTGAATAAGCACCCTTTTCTGAAGGTTGAAGGATGGGCGCTTATTTGAAGGGGGGGGGTGCTTAATTCAATAATTTCACCTCAAGGGTGGGTGCTTAATTGAAAGAGGTGCTTATTTGAAGGGGGTGCTTGTTCAAGGCATTACAGTAGTGAAAAGTGATGTATCATCTACAAAGAGTTTTACCTTCAACTATAGATAAGAAGAAAAGGGGCCCTAGTGTTGCCCCAATCTGTGTAGTGGCTTCATGTTGATAATTTTTTACAATAATCCAATTGGTAATAGTAGATATGACCATTATATGGCTGTTTCTTCTAGGTGGAGTGAGTGAAGTTGTAATCAATGTTCTCTTGAAAGCTGGACTTCTACGCTTGCATTCAGAGGAGCGGACCACATCAATAACTTCAGCCGGGTTTCAGTTTCTGCTAATGGATACTGTTTCACAAGTCTGGTATTTTATGTTACAGTACTTGGAAACTTCTGACCAACACAAGGCAGACTTGGTCGAATGTTTGTCATTCTTATTTCAAATCAGTTTTTCTACCTATGGGAAAGACTATTCTGTTGAAGGATTAAGCGAGAAACAATTCAACTTTTTACAACATTTACGCGAAATGGGGCTAGTTTTTCAACGGAAACGAAAATCAAGACGATTTTATCCTACAAAACTAGCAATAAATTTAGGGTCTGTAGTGACAGGCGAAAACAGCACTGAGTCAAATCAGCACCGTTTTGTTGTTGTTGAAACCAACTATAGAGTATACGCATATACTGATTCGACTTTACAGCTTGCCTTGTTGAGTTTGTTTTGCGACATTTTGTCTCGGTTTCCGAGCTTCTGTGTCGCTGTTTTGAGCAGGGAAAGCGTCCAGCAAGCCTTAGCAAGTGGAATCACTGCAGAGCAAATCTTAAATTTTCTCCGAACTCGGGCCCATCCTATTATGCTAAATCGAAATCCTGTCATCCCGCCAACAATTGCTGATCAAATTAGACTTTGGGAAATGGAACGGGAAAGACTGCAGTTTACTGAAGGAGTCTTGTATAGTGAGTTTCTATCACAAAGCGATTTTGAGACGCTGCGTAAATATGCTGACGATTTAAATGTGTTGCTATGGGCGAACATGAGTAAGAGGCTAATGGTTGTAAGCAAAGCTGGTCATGACGACGTTAAACGGTTCTGGAAGAGACACAAGAATAAATAGTCAATATTTTTGTAGCTGTTTGTAATTCCTATGCAAAAAACGTTGGCGTTTTATGAATTTTTGATAGTTAAAATAATTAGCGTTGTTCTAATACATTTATTGACGTCATCTCCAAAGACATCAATAAAGATTGCTTAAAGTGGCAGTTTATGACTTCACACAGAGATGCTATAGTGGCTGAAGATAGCCAAAGATGAAGAGCCTGCGATATTCGAGGACGTCATATATTTTTTAAGGTTGGGGGAGTACATTCTGGAAACCCTCGGTTCAACGACCCCTTGTTTCCCGCGTCAAGTAATCGTAAATTCAGTAAACTTTATAAGAGGGGATACTATCCCCTTGATAAATGTTAAATGTAAAGGAAAACTTATTTAGACTTAAAGCTAGTAAGTTCGCAAATTCTTTCATGTTTAGAACCGTATGTGACAAGTAAGTTATCCTTATTCCTACAATTATATGTCATTAAATGTTCTGTTAATGTCTTGGTAATGTTAATGTTTGCCATAAAGCAATGTTTCAATCCATGCTTTTTCCTGTGCTTTTTATGCTTCGTCGTAAAATGAGAGGCAGTCTGTTAGGTCGGAAGCATCTTTTATCATTTCCTTTCAGGTTAAACTGATTCCAAAATGATTATTGTTTTACTTGGGACACATGGCTATTATTCAATGGAAATTTGTATGGGCTAGACTGTGAATGCAAATCCAGGTCTCTAAAATATCCGCTACAGTTCTGGAATCTTCTAGAAGTGTACATTGCTTCCATTTGATACAACTTGTCTATTCTTCGTACGTTTAAATGAGGAAGGCACCCTTGTATCCTCCCTTTTTACAATTTTCATCAAGATTTAATTAAAGACCCCGTTAAACTACAGAAAGAAGAATGGAACTCTTTGGTTTCTTATTTGGGCACGATACCTCTTTTTCATCGCGTCTCTACTGTAGCAAAAAGGAACGGAGCTAAATTTGAGCCCGTTTACACTTAAGTAGAAAGAACGGAACTTTCACGCGAAGCATGCGCAGTGGCGAGACAATGACGTCTGACATTTAAAAAAAACCTCGCTCGAACCCTAGATTGAGCTCCGTTTCCAATCGTAACCAAAAAATTCCGTTCCTGACCGTTGCACTAGAGAAAACAAGCACGATTTGGGTACGGAACCAAAGAGTTTCGCATTTTTGCGAAACCAAAGAAGGAGGAAACCGTTCCCAAACTAGCACGGAACCAAGATGCTTTGTGTAAACGCAAGGCCTATCGTCGTTTCTTCAGGCACGGAACCAATGAGTTCCGTTCCTTTTTCTGTAGTGTAAACGGGGTCAAAATCTAAACCAGACATGCTATCTATCAGTGGTTATTTTCCAAGCAATGTTTACATTCCATGACAATTTGCTCGCACCATATTATATTTCGTTTAAGGGACTAGAATTAGATACAGTGAAGTCACAGCACTTTGTTTGTAGTCTACGAATCATTATTCCAGCTTGCTGGCTGGTAGAAACCCTGTTTGCTTCCTCACTGTAAAGTAACGTGATTGGAAAGTTTGATCTTTTACAACAGCTTCCTTGTAAAAGTACCATATTTTGACACCACTGATCTAAAAAAAAGACTGGATCGAACAACCTATTGTTTTCCTACATCAATGGAACTCTAGTCCCATACAACACGGCGAGGTCTCAAGATGGACGCTGCTATGTGGATTCAACGCTGGGCTGGAGAAGCTCGATCCAGTCTCTTTTGAGATCAGTGGTTTGACACTGATTGGGCAACCTCGCCCTCATGTGCTCGCGCCTCTGATTGACATACAGACACGACCTCGTTCGTTACCCTAAAAACTTCCTCTGGCCAACGATCAAATCCTTGAAAACATTGCAAAACAATGCAAATACGGCGTGGTATGGGGGTAATAGCTGAAGTTATTTTGTTTTCAGTGCTCTTCTCGTCCTTCGTTGACTGTGCAGGTACCGCCTTGTATATTCTCTAGTAAAATGCCATATGGGTACAACGTCACACTTTCTGGGCTCTAATTAAACATTTTTCCCGTCTCTACGTTTCCAATTCAGCAAATATATCGTTAACTGGCCTTCTGAGCTTGTAACATATTACTCAAAATACTAGTGAAAACCAAGTTCAGATCAATGAAGAAATACCAACATGAAAGATTTAAATTTTTTGTTCAATTATGTGCAAGGATGGCGATAGACGTTGAATAAAATCATACTTGTATTGTACATGTGTGTCGAGGCCTAGCATCTCCAGATTCAGTGATTTCTAGCTCATTGTCAATCTTCCGCCAGAACAGCACCGAAATGTGCACTTGTTACCAGTTTCCTATAGCGAGCTAGCAGTCCTTTTAATGGCTTCTGCGGAGGGACCCAGCTCTGTAGCCTATCCGCTGCTTCCTCCGGGGAGATTTCCTGAAAAAGACGAAGCAGATGAAAAGAAATGTCATTTTACAGACATTAAAACCTGTTAAGAGAGCCTTTCATCTTGCATTTAGCCTAAAAGATGAGCTCAAGATTTGTTGCGGAGAACACGTAAAAATATTTTTACCTATGAGACATCCCCTGTTTTTGCTGTTATGGCGCATGCGCACTAATGGTTGAGTCCTAGGCCTCCCCAACCGGAGTTTGTTTTGGCTTACGAAAAAGACATCTTCTGATATGTCATGTTAAAGCCCTATAATACTTGTATTAGACTCAAAGTACACTACCACAGAAATACAAATTTACAGCTCCTCTATTACTGCTCTCTAACAGCAAAAAAACACCATAGATTCACTATACAATTCATTAATATTCAAAGAATGTTACCAGATCTATTCTTTTTCCTGCCAGATCAATGTTGATTACGTCATCGTTTTTGACGATTGCAATTGGTCCACCACAGTGTGCTTCTGGTGTCACATGACCCACCATTATACCTGAAATATTATTCTTTTTCATTCAAACGGTAAAAAAGTTAGAGAAAAGAACATAACCTGATAAAAGATTGCAGAAAGTAACCACAGGCAGTTCACTAGTATATGAAAACCAGGCTAAACTTTCGTCCAAAGATGTTTTGCCAATTTCAGAGGCTGTTGCCGCAGGAATGGCGAAAACATCTGAGAAACTGATTTGTTGTGTGTCAATTATTATTTTACAAGTAAATTGGTGTATTATGGGAAATAACATCATGTATACAAAAGAAAATAAAATTATGTTAGGGCCTTGGTTGCTTACCATGAGATGCCCCACTGAATCTCCCATCAGTTACCAAGGCAACATCCTTTCCCAAGCCAGCTCCAATGAGCGCCGCACTAGGCCCAAGCATTTCTGGCATTCCAGGGCTAAAATGACGAATAGAATTAAAATTCACAAACATTCAATCTACAGGAAGGTTATTAAGGAAGCACCCGTTACAATGACGATAAGGTCAATCATTTTAACAGATTCAATTCTTAATACTATCATACAACACTAAATAGGATTGAAGAAAGAAACGACAAGTTGAATTCATATAAAGTATCATGTTTTGTAATAGTAGGGATGTCAGACAATGGAAAAGTGCGGTGGTCTGCAGTTCATCTCGTCAAGCAACTTGAAGAAGAGGGTATGAATTACGTTGTTAGCCTCGTACCTGCCTTTAGGGCCCTCGTAGCGTATGACAAGGACGTGACCAGCCTTCACCTTTTGAAAAGAGCCAGAAATGATGCTATTCAATATTTCAGTGGCAAAAATTGCTACAATAACAATAAAAAGTGAAAACTTTAAAAAGTTTAGTTTAGAGATTATTGGACAAACTACTGTTTTATGGAATAAGTTACCTCCCCATTCATAATTGCATCCAACGCATCATGCTCGCAGCCAAACACGATGGCCTAAGAAGAAAAATCATATGATAATACCAGAGAATTTTTAATCAGAATGACTATAAAATTATTTGAATATCAAGAGGACTAAAAGGTAGAGCATGCATAACAAAATTTCAATAACAATATCCTATACTTGTAACGTTCAACACACTTGTTTAAATAGCATATTAAGCAGGGCAGTTCTTTGGGAAATTCATTCCATCTACATAGAACATCAAACACTACAGACAACATTATATTATAGGCCTTTACGTTAAAAAATACAATTGCAGCTCTCTTTTACAGAATTAAAAGCATTAGTAGTGAAATATTTTTGGAGTGTTTTTCCTGTGATATTCTTTTCATGTTGGAATAATTTGTACATGAAATGTCTGAAAACGTCAGCACATACCCGCCCTTTGAAAGAATTGAGTTCCTTGCCACTGATTTTTGATACTGCGCTGTCAGGTGCTAGCGAGCCCTGGAAAAAGGTGAATAATCCTGAGCAAATACGTTATAGCGCAGCAATCCTGGAATAAATGTCATCGTTGTCGAAGATACATTTTTAGGCAATATAAACATTTTAAGACAACATAATGAATGCTCCCCTTGATTGGAGATTGAGATGTAGATTGCGCTGACAGTTACAAGAAGATGAGCAAGAAAATTGATACTCTATGAAACGGGGAGGTGGAGCACTGGGGGAAGTGGAGCACTGAGAGAGGTGGAGCACTAGGGGGAGGTGGAGCACTGAGGGAGGTGGAGCACTGGGGGAGGTGGAACACTGGGGGAGGTAGAGCGCTGTGGGAGGTGGAGCACTAAGGGGAGGTGGGGCACTGGGGGAGGTGGAGCACTGTGGGAGGTGGAGCACTGGGGGAGGTGGAGCACTGTGGGAGGTGGAGCACTAGGGGGAGATGGAGCACTAGGAAGGTTGAGCACTGGGGAAGGTGAGGGGCGTGGACAATATGATCCCTTGAAATTAACCTCAATTCATGGATTAGATTGAAACAGTACTGAAAGAATTTTATCATGTAGAGCAAAGTTCATTTAAAAAACTAACATCCAATTTTAAAACAGAAGCAAATGAAAGAAATTGACAACAAAATTAGCATTGCATGCTTAGGAAAACTTACTCGAAGAATGATTATATGTCGCCCTGGAGGAGCAAATGGAGATGTCATCTTGTGTATGACAATCTAATAAAAACAGAGGAAAAATCAGATTGAAATTTCTGAGAAACCAATACTGAAAGGCTGAACGTCGAAGAAAGATGATAGCATTGAAAAAAATTTGAATGGTCAGAAGCCAATAATTGATACTAGTTTAACACCTGTATAAAAAGCATAAACAAAAAGAGAAAAAACTTCTTTAAACTAAACAAGAGTGCTTTAACAAAATTGATAAATAAATATATTATAGCACAAAAAGCTCATTTGGTAATTAGCATTAAAAGATCGAAAGTAATTTAGTACGCTATGTTCCAAAAGCACCAAAAGCTTATTTGGTAATTAGCATTAAAAGATCGAAAGTAATTTAGTACGCTATGTTCCAAAAGCACCAAAAGCTTATTTGGTAATTAGCATTAAAAGATCGAAAGTAATTTAGTACGCTATGTTCCAAAAGCACCAAAAGCTTATTTGGTAATTAGCATTAAAAGATCGAAAGTAATTTAGTACGCTATGTTCCAAAAGCACCAAAAGCTTATTTGGTAATTAGCATTAAAAGATCGAAAGTAATTTAGTACGCTATGTTCCAAAAGCACCAAAAGCTTATTTGGTAATTAGCATTAAAAGATCGAAAGTAATTTAGTACGCTATGTTCCAAAAGCACCAAAAGCTTATTTGGTAATTAGCATTAAAAGATCGAAAGTAATTTAGTACGCTATGTTCCAAAAGCACCAAAAGCTTATTTGGTAATTAGCATTAAAAGATCGAAAGTAATTTAGTACGCTATGTTCCAAAAGCACCAAAAGCTTATTTGGTAATTAGCATTAAAAGATCGAAAGTAATTTAGTACGCTATGTTCCAAAAGCACCAAAAGCTTATTTGGTAATTAGCATTAAAAGATCGAAAGTAATTTAGTACGCTATGTTCCAAAAGCACCAAAAGCTTATTTGGTAATTAGCATTAAAAGATCGAAAGTAATTTAGTACGCTATGTTCCAAAAGCACCAAAAGCTTATTTGGTAATTAGCATTAATAGATCGAAAGTAATTTAGTATGCTATGTTCCAAAAGCACCAAAAGCTTACTTGGTAATTAGCATTAAAACCTCGGCATTTTCAAGACCACTTGACCAAGAATAAACATATTGTTAGGAATATCACTTACCTTCTCAGGATCTTGGTATAAAGATCTAATATCAACATGTTGCAAATTTTCCGCAACTGTTTTCCCTGTAACCGTCATACAGTCACCATGTATTAGTCCATGATCCAAGAGTTGCCTCATTACAGCCTGGAAGTCAAAGAACAGAGAGTATGGTCTTATGAAATCGATACATTACAACCCAGGTCCCCTGAGACAACCCATTGCGCAATACCACGAACTCTTCCAATGCTCACCCTTTCCAAGTCTCTTTACCAAATTCACGAACTCTATCCCACAACTCTTCCTTCCTCGCTAGATCTTGTAAACTTTTGAGTGCTATACCTTTTCCCTGCCTCTCAGACTCTAACAGCCGGTGTTTTTTCAAAACAGAAACCAAAAAAACTTGATCTTTCCTCCCTCTCTTCCTAATCCCTCCTCCTTATCCCTTGTTGAGGCTAAGCTAAAGGCTCCTGAGGCTTTCCCTAGCATTAACAACAAAGAATTTTTCAATTTTTTTCATTATCGTATATGACAATATAACATATAACAGCATTCGATAATATACCACAGTATCATGAGCAGCAATCGTGCCAGAAAGTCAGCAAACAGTGTAAAGGGCGATTTATCGCACAGAATATTCAGAAAAATACTACCCTTCAAGTGAAGCTTAAAAAATGTTAAGGTAACTCGAAATTTAGACAGAAAAACACCTAGTCTAGTTTATAATGAAACCAGTATACCGTTGACGAAAAAGGCTCTATACATACTAAAAAGGCCCAATAGCAGAGTGATACTGAGAGAAATTGACTAAAAAATTGACAGAGTTTCTGAATAAATGCTAGCATGAAATTCTACCAAAAGGTTTTTTCAATGGGAAGTGAACCCCCCCTTTCTTACGACTCCGTAACCCATACCCCTGCTTCTATAACCCTTGTAAAGCAGTCTTAATATAACAATTGACAAATAAACATGAAGATATTATGCCTACCGGTACTCCGCCTATAGCATCGAGATCTCTCATGTGGTACTGCAAACAGATACAAATAGATTAATATTAACCAAAAAAAATTGACTAAATCATTAACTATGAAGTGAATAATTGACAACTATAGCAAAGTCCACTGAAACATAAATAATGTAAATATAACTATGAAAATCATTATTGTGACTTTTATTCATAGTGTAATTTTCTAAACGAGGATATTATATAACGAGGTTTATTATTATGTAACACAAGTAACAGAAGCACGTGTGTGTGACCTTCTAATTGCGAAATGCTGGACACTTCACATAAAATTGTGTATCAAGACACCATTTTTTCCAAATCATAGTGTTGTTAATAGAAATGACTTGGAAAATGTGAAAACAGCAGATAGAAAATATTCATCCCTTGTCTTTAACCAAGAAAAACAATCTAAGAGTGTGCTACATTTTTCAAAAAGAACTAGGTTCTGTGTATCCCTAGATCTATGAAAATTTGTAAAAATTATTGGAGTGTAAGGCCTGATATATGTACCTTGCCATGTGGTCGAAGATTTGAAATCAAAGGAACTCTTTCACCAATTTTGTTGAAGTCTTGGATACAAAAGTCAACATCTGCTCTAGAAGAAAAAAAAATAAATGTGCTATTCACTCAGGTTTAAATTTGCCAATTGGCAAAGTGAAAATTTAAGGCGTCACAAGATTATATGTCTCGCACAAAAAAGAAGTTGGGTCATAGCATTTTTCGTTGTTTATTTTTTCCACATGAAGCGCACAATCACTTTTTAGTGTGTTTCATAGTGTCGTCATCTCATTTCGTGTGTCGTCAGCATAGCTTGACCATTTCTGGAAAAGCACCTTTAAGTTTTGAAAGTTGGTCATTAACTATAGCGAGATTAGCAGTGCTTCTGACATATGTCCTACCAACAAGCAGGAATTAGAGTAAAAATTATGGGCGTTACTAAAACGAGAGTCTATCACAAAAGCAATACTATTCATACGTGACGCCCTTGTTGATTTTTTATCTTACTTTATCTCACCATGATGTAGTTTCCCGTTTTCTTTACGACTTTTAAAGTACTTAGGTTCATTGCCATTATTTGTCCTAAATAGTTATTCATCCTAAATAGATACTAACAAAGTACACTCACTCTTTTGCTAAAGCAAGTAAATGTAGGATTCCGTTTGTTGATCCCCCAAGGGCAAGCATTACTGTCACAGCATTCTCAAACGCCTACGAAGAAGCGAATACAAATAAACGTTTTTTGTAAATAGTATAAGGAATATGCAAGCAGTTTGGAAATCCAAGAGACGCAGTCTTTTTGGGACAGAATCTATTTGGAACTTGTCTCGTGTAGACGATTAAGGCTTCTTGCTCTGGATAAAGACATGATACAGACGATAAACATTTCATAGACTTCTTGTTTTGGAATGAGTTACGTGGTGAATCTGTTTGAACAAAACCACGAGTCCATCAGATAGCAGCCAATATGTTATGTATCAATGCAATAAAGTTTGCAACTGTCACGTTCTAGAGCAGGAGAACTCGGGAGGTCTCAAATAAGGACGCAATAGGACCAATATTTTTATGTATCAAAAATGAGCTTGATTCAAGTTCATCTAACACCGAATGTGGGTAAGCTGTGCATCCCTACCCACTACACCTCTCGACCCTAGTAAAGACAGTTCTAACCCTCTTCATTGTGCTTGGCTGCTATAAAAGCTAGTGCAACTGCGGTTAATCTCACTGGCTTTGCCAAAAACATACTGTCTTGAACAATAAGCGTATGAAACTAAAATCTATTAAATTTGACTACTTTTATAAATTACAATTTTTTTAAATAATTTGCCTCGATACTTTTTGCAATGTTCGGATTCAGCTTCGTTCTGTCAAAATTGTGTATCAATATCTTTTCGCGATGAAAAAACTTTCTGTTAGCAAAGAGTTACACCCAATGATACCTCATTGGTTACACCTAGTCAACAGATAAACTAACATACCTTTCTTGTCATAATGTCTTTTGAATGCAAATCATTTTCCATCATTTTGAACAATGTTTGGACTGAAATTCGAACTTCCTCAGCTTTTCTTGGATTTACCTATAACAGAAACAGTTGCCCCAGGTTTTGAACAGATTTAAATATAGCATAATTATCGTCATTTGTTGGGAATGTGTTGTGTTGTGTTGTGTTGTGTTGTGTTGTGTTGTGTTGTGTTGTGTTGTGTTGTGTTGTATTGTATTGCAGTGCTATTTTATTAAGTAAATTTACCTTGTGATGCATTATGATGTCATTACTATGGATAGTGTTGTGTGAAGAAGTTGTAAACTGCTGTATGGTGTTTTATAGTGTTGTATTGTATTGTATTGTATTGTATTGTATTGTATTGTATTGTATTGCATTGCATTGCATTGTATTGTATTGTATTGTATTGCATTGCATTGCATTGCATTGTATTGTATTGTATTGTATTGTTAAATAGCAAAAATCTTCAAATGCTATTCTCAGTGTGGTACCTTGTTTTCAGGTGTAGCAGCAAGGCCAGATGCACTTCCTACAACAGATGTACAGAGAATCAACTCAGAGTATCGAAAAGGTTACAGATCAACATATTCTTGGGCCTAGCGTGTAGTCTAGGTAGGAATTTGGCTGCATTATTTTGTTGAACAAGTGAAACGGCAGTTCGGGAGAAACGATTCTGATTGGACTGAAATACTATTGTCATTTATCTCGCTACATCAGCGATACATCAAGAGAACAAAGACTCTTATGTCTTTGTACCGACAGTACTGACAGTGGAGGGCGGAAAAAGCACAAAATTGGGGAGGAAAACTTTTAATTGCAGTGGTGACAGAGTCACTCCCTTCAGCATAACTTCTGTGCCAAACATTTCATCTAGATATTTAATTTCAATTTACAAATACTAAGGAAATATAACTTGGCTTCTCAAGTAGCTTTGATCCATTCTTAGAAAAATAAGGTGGATCATAATTTAGAGAAAATGTTGGAGGTGAGTAACTATCCTCCTTTTTTTTACAGCCTCACGCTAGACGTGTATGTAGATACAGTTCCTCACTAAAATCTTGTTGACATTATCAAAGAGCATGCCAGCCACAGTATTCTAATTAAGTCAATACGATATATGATCTATGATATGATAGATCGACCTATACGACTATATCTAAATCTATCAATATAATTAAAAAGAAGACGGGGCAAGAGAAGTTGATTGTATAACCTGGTATGGCCATTCCAAGGGCCTCGATTGCGGAGCTCATCGTGTTTGCTGTAAACATACCACCTAAAACGAGGCAAATATGCCATGGCATCTCGTTGAAGATAAATTTTTATTACCATTAGGAATATCCATACAGCCTCAGCGGTAACGATGATTTCGAAAATCGCCATAAGAACAAAAAAGAGGAAACATGACTAATTTTTCAAAGAATATTTCTGAATATAATTTTCTGTTATCCTTCTGTAATTATGCGCCATTTTGTACTTTAAGGACTGACAGGAAAAAATAATTCTGTATAATAACTTATATTTCCGCTCTTTCATGCCATACGGAAATAATATGGTCTTTTATGACGAACTAATGAAGAGATGGAGCAGTTAAAAGGGAAAATATCAAAGACAAAATTATGGCACAATGTTTCTCGCAAACACAAAAAAGAAAGATGAAGTATATATCTAACGACAAAGAAAACATGCAACAGATATTGAGATGATATTTATTCTGTCCATAATGGTCTGTTGCATATAATGATGGCATTGAAATAGATAGGACCAATCAATAGTTATGTAGTTGGCTCTTATCATGATTAAATTTCGCAACTAGAAATCATACTATACTTTGCACTGCTGAACCATAAATTCATAATGTGCTATATTATCAATCGAAGATGATTACATATGGAAACATTTTGCAGATTCGAAGTAATATACTCAATATGTATTTTGCCTACAGTCCATTATACACTTACGTTCAAAAAGTATTGGAATAAACTTCGAAATTTTGAAGACATTTGATGCAACAAATTTGGAAAGACCTTTAAAAATATTTTCCATTAAAAAAGTACGGCAGCTATTTCCATGAAATTTTTGCCAGATATTGTTGATGTTTCGATCCCTTTTATGTACGTCATACAACCCACAAAACATCAACCATAAAATTTCTATAGGCCTTGTGACATAGGCATGGTAGCTCTTGAAAAATCAAGAACTGAGTTTCGAGAAGCGCTTGCAAATTGCTTTCTGCGAAAATAACACGAATGGACGTCGTATCACTTGTTGGTTGCTCAATGAGTGCAGCTTTTGTGGCGTGTAAAAAGACTTTCCTTACAAGAAGAGTAAAAAGCTCAACAAGGGTTGGCAGAAGAAGTTTACGACGCCGAGAGACGAAAGGTCCTTTTTGAAGGAACTGCGAAGTAATAGGTTTGAATCCTCACCAGGCATAATATCGTCGTGTAAAAAGAAGTTAAATTTAGGAACATAAGCAAAAACGTGGCTGTAAAATCATAAGAAATACAAATTTTCCAGCTTTATAAGAAGAAATGCTCTCTCAAAGCAAATACCTATAAACTGTCGCCGACGAGTACTGGGGCTTTCCCGGCAATGTAGCTTTAAAAGTAGCTTGAGTAAGTTCAATAATTCTATAAAATGTTTGATTTTGTAATTTTTCTTTGTAAATTTCTTTGCTATGCAAATGTGAATCTAAAAAACTGAATTCATTTGGACATCTCTAAAAAATTGCTAAGGCCGTGTGAATTTGCCGTTTTTAGGCCATACAACTCTTTTACAGATTTATCTATTATTTATGGGAAAATCGTAAGAATCCGTGCTTTCATAGTTATGATTCAAAAGTTTAGGTTTCTTTTCAACTTTTAACCTTTTTCCATTTTTGGGATACACAGGCCTAAATTAATTGATAAAAGACAGACTGCTAATATCTGAACAAGGTTGCGTTACAAAACCCGAATAGCGCAACGCCATAGTTCTTATATCGAATTGGTCCCGATACTTTTTGAACGTAAGTGCAGAAGATAGGCCGGAGGAACCTCTTTTTCGCATCTTGTGGGTTACCAAGGTAACCAGTTATCGGCATGGCCATTTGGAGAATGATACTAGAATATACGTGAATTGTAGCAAATCTCATACCACATGATCCAGCACCTGGATTTGCGCTGCACTCAATATCATGAAGTTCTTCGATGTCAATCAAACCAGCACCAAATGAGCCAATAGCCTATCACAATTTAAAAAGAAGCAACCTACGTTTAATGGCCTCATTGAACTTGACTTTATAAAGTCGATAAATGTACTCATGGTCGTTCTTAGGTCTAAAGGATATGCATACAATTTATGTGTGAGAAAAGAATTACCGAAAGACACTACTTATAAAAACTTGTAGGCACCCTTGTTAGTGACAAAGGTTTACTTCTTATAACAACTTGTCTAGAATGGAATAACAGAGAAGGAGAGGTTTGCACAAATAGAAAGCTAAACAAAACATAAGCCAGATATTATTCTTCTTAATGGCAAAGCAAACCTCCATGACGTCACCCTGGTCCAGTGCCCTATGCTTTTCAGTGCAGCCTGGAATTATAGTCCCACCATACAGGGTGATCCCAATCTGTTGGGAAGAATCGAGGATACTTTTAGACAATGAACAACAAGAAAAATGAGGAATAGAACGATATAAGTACATTTTTGTTAAATTTGAGAGCTCTATACAAGGTTTATCAAGGAAACAGCAGCATAAAGTCCGGGTAGGTTGCTAAATCTATTAACAATTCTGAAGGCATGGATATAAAAGCATAAGCAAAGTATTTTCAGAAAAAGAACCATTCCCGAACCCAATGTAGAAAGTGATCTCTGTTGATAACTAGTATATCAGGGAATGGCAAGGTAAGGTAAACTTTTCATTACCAAGTTGTGCCTGGCTATTGGTAGAAGTACACCAGGGTTGGTTTTATCACAGCCGCCAAATGTGATTATTCCGTCCTAAATAATAAAGCAACAATCTGACTATTAAGCATACATAGGATGAAGCTTACAATATTGAAAAAATAGCAAGAATTCTTAAACCAGACTTTTCTGCATTGGTTTTAAAAAGGGAAATTACAATGGACACAAAACCACTTTCAGCAAAGCACTTCCAGAGTACAATTCTCATTTTGACATTGAGAATTTAGCAAGAACGATAGAAGGATGCATATACCAATGTATGGACCTTGGCCAAATATTATTGCTATATTAAGATAGCACTGCCCGAAATGCGTTAAATGTTGCCTCTATGTTATCTATGACTGTGAGAACAAAGATAAGAACTAAGATAGAAAAATTTGACTGTAAAAGTCAAGAAAATTATAGATGATGCAACATTAGCTTGCAAGTGCAGTCTTGACAGTGGAAACAGCAGATGACGTTATATTGTGAAATATAATTAAAAAAGAAATTTAGATGAGTTTATAACAATGGAATTATAGTAATATCCTTTTTAAAGTAATGCAACGCTCTATTTTTTTAACTATCTTTTGCAAAAAGATTTTCGTCTTTGTCATCATTATCTAGAATATTACCCAGAATTCCACAACAATGTTAAGCTACAGGCTTACAGCTGAATAGCCTTGGTGCATTAGTTCGATTGAATCTGCTATCAGGTCACGTGATATCAACGAGTACTTCATTCCAACAGATCCCTTCAATAAGAAAAAAACGTTTGTATGTGAAGCAACAAATATTAGATTACAATGTCTTCATCTTTGTGTGTTAAATTTGGAAATTTGAAAAGCTTTATTGTCTATGGAACGGATAAACATAATCCTGGACATTTTCGGAATACCTTTATTAAATGGTTTCAAGAAATCAAAGATTAAGAACAGATGCCATTCTTTTTACAATAAGTTCATTCTCAGAAAAAATGTACCAGGCAGAGACACTTCTTTTTACAAGAAACTTTATTAGATACGACTATTAGATACGACTATTAGATACGACTATTAGATACGACTATTAGATACAACTATTAAATACAACTATTAGATACGACTATTAGATACGACTATTAGATACGACTATTAGATATGGCTATTATATATAACTATTAAATACAATTATTAGATAAGACTTTTAGATACGACTTTCAGATACGACTATTAGATGCGGCTACTATAATCAACTATTAGATACGATTATTAAATAAGACTATTAGATACGACTATTAGGTAGGAAAATTAGATGAGTATTTTGATAAATTAAACAATGTTGCATGTTACTAACATACCCTAAACCTCTTGAAAAAGACATGAATATCAGAAAAATTTCATTTCACCAAAATTGCAGGACTCTGTTCACGGAAAATTTATTTTAAACTTTTCATAACAATATTTTAGTATATAGCCGATCAAACCACTCATTGTTCCATCTTCTGTTCCAAATTTCAAATGAAATCAAATTACATTTAAATGACATGGTTAAACTTGAGATTCAAGACATATTTACCATGGTTTCTGCATCACTGATGACGGGGGTGAAACAGGTAAAAGCCTTGCCTGGAAATGATGCATAGACAATTAGAGAGGAAATGACAAGCTATTATAACGAAACAATCAAAGAAAAAATTGTTGTTATTTGTTATAAAAACAGTCTGCAACGCGTCCCTTGTCTAGCTTAAAAATGTAAGATTTCTCTTCTAAGCAAAAATGAGATCGGCTATTTGAAAATATAATGTGGCCGGATCTTCAGCCGAGTTATATTAAAAACGCCAATAATACCAGTTTTCTCGCTGATCAAGTCATCTCGACCCACAGAGCCAGTTAAAATACCCCATTATCTATAGACACCGAATTCTCCTATGGGCAAAAAAAGGCTACTCAGACTCATGTGATCATGCAGAAGAGCACTCAGACATTTTTCAGAATAATTGTTGTATACTTTGAGGAAACCCTTGAAGTAAATTAACCTAGAAGTTTCAGAATCTTTTTCACCTGATTCTCATTCTTTAGAAGGGGCGCACAATTTCCAAAAAAGGGACGCCAGACTTGCTACAACTCGGTGAGGGAGGGACAACTGCCCCTAGTTGCCCCCCTAAATCCGCCACTGGTATGAATAAGAAAAAGTTTGACGACATCTATCTTGAATTTAAAAGCATACTAAAAATTATACCTCCTAGTTTCTCAATTTCTTCGACAGCTATTTCAGCCAATTCCCTAAAACGATGTCGAATTTACATAATTGTCTTACTTTACTTGAATCTAATAGCCTTAAAAAAGGAATGGATGAAAAATTCATAACCGAAGGCTCAAAAACAAGCCCTGAGTAAGTGCTAGAGGGTTTCAGTGCTAAAGCATTTAGCAAAGCATAGACATTCATACTTTCATTTCAGATTACAGATTCGTTAGAAGAGCCTGGGAGATAAGGGGTGCCAAAGAGCCATGCTAGAAAAGATGCCTTGGGTGGTAGTGTTAGCCCTCAATTCTCTTGAATGAAGAAAAAGGTTGATGGAGAGTGGCGTTAGGAACCAGAAGGGTCAAATTAGAAGATACTACCTCATGTTGAGAAAATGTACTGGCATTTTTGAGCAAAGGGCTAAAGTTACGAGTTTTTAAATACAGTGGAGTCTCCACATAACGGACACCGCTCGGACCAGCGACCAGTGTAATTGCCTGCTTTATAGAGGTTCCTTTATGGGCATTTTGACCGTATGGGACAAAAAATCTGTCCGTTGTGGAAGGGTGTCCGTTGTATAGGGGTGCATTTCTTGATTTCTATTTCTATTGTTCTTTCAACCCTAAATTCTCGAAACCTCGCAGTCAGTGAGGGAGTTATGGCAAATCTGTGGCAGGCACTGCGCAGCCATTGGGCTAGCAGGGGCTATAGCCCCCCTGTCTTTTTTTGCAATTATAGGTTAGAATTTTTTTTTGTAAAGTTCACTTACTCACTAAGAAAATTAGAATGTTGTATTTGCTAACTTGGTTCTTGAAGCTAATTATATCAATTTTTATACCAATTGATATCTTCTCTGAATCAGACTGTTTATAAATAATAAGTGCATAAAGCAAGTATTTTCTAAAAAGGGTGTTTTCCAGCATCTTCAAACAATTTTGGGTCATGCCCTTTCCGACCCTCCCATTTTTAGACTGTTGCGTGGTGCTTGATGTAGTATATTTGCAAAACAATTTCTGTATACAAACCTGAAGTGAAAATTGCACGGAAGAGCATTGCTGTATGGGCAGCCAACCGTTATTATTGGTTTCTTAAAATCCTCATCCTGGATAAAAACAATTTGTGACAGTTTTACATAAACAAAGGCATTGAGATTCTTGGCACAATGAAATTGAAAGCAAAGATTGAGAGAGAGAGAGAGAGAGAGAGAGAGAGAGAGAGAGAGAGAGAGAGAGAGAGAGAGAGAGAGAGAGAGAGAGAGAGATAGAGAGAGAGAGAGAGAGAGAGAGAGAGAGAGAGAGAGAGAGAGAGAGAGAGAGAGAGAGAGAGAGAGAGAGAGAGAGAGAGAGAGAGAGAGAGAGAGAGAAAGAGAGAGAGAGAGAGAGAGAGAGAGAGAGAGAGAGAGAGAGAGAGAGAGAGAGAGAGAGAGAGAGAGAGAGTGAGAGAGAGAGAGAGAGAGAGAGAGAGAGAGAGAGAGAGAGAGAGAGAGAGAGAGAGAGAGAGAGAGAGAGAGAGAGAGAGAGAGAGAGAGAGAGAGAGAGATGAACTATTTGGCAGCATTTCTAACACATAATTATCACACTGCCATAAGCAGATGTGGAAAAGCAAAAAGAAACAATTGCATTCCTTGTAACTCACAGCTGCAAACAATTCTGGAAATTTAATCTTATATCACTTGAATAGCAATCATTTGATTTACAGATTTTGGACTGGAAAACATTCAGAAATACATTTACGGAATGCAATATAATCTGAATAAAGACACCTAACAACCTTGAATCCAGTAGCTCTCATGTGACTTCTACAGCCTGCCTTCAATTGAAAATAATTTTGTTAATCTAGAGATAGTGTTGGTTGCACCCAACATGAAAAAGGTGCAACAATTAAAAATTAAAAATCAGTATATGTTGCTAATAAAAAAATTCCAACATGGTATATATGAAAACAAATCTGAGCATTTCTAATAATGCTTTGCAAAATCCACTTTGGCTCTTTATCTTTACTAACTACTTTTTGGCCAGGCTTCATTAAATGAAGACATCACCTGCAAGGATTACAAACTACATCCAATTGATCTGTGCTGATATCATTTTTAAGTTGCAGCTTAGGTTAAATTGTTTAAGAATTGCCCATACAGGCAATTTCAATTTTGTTTCAATATCACTTTTTTATGAAGGTTCTGTTGAAATTCACAAAAGTCTCTTGGCCTCACTGTATACTGTTTGCCTACTTTCACCTGTTTGGTATATTTGAAAACATTGACTATGCCAAAAGCAAAAAACTTAGTTGCACCCAACTTGGGTACTCTGTCACAGCTAATATGGTCAAATTACCCTCTTAACCCATCCATCAACATTGCTAGGATCTCCAGTGAAAGGAAGACTGTTTTTCTGCAAAATAAAAAAATCAAGAAGGATAAGAAGTACAGTCACACAAAAATGGAAAAGTTATAAACAAAAAGATATGGATAAATGCTAAAATAGCATATTTGGAGTGATTGCAATAAAGATCAATTTATAAGTGCTAAATTCCATTCCTTGAAGTGAGCAGGTGCTCTGTTCCTTTCAGAAACATCTAAGATGACATCCTTGAGTCTTAAGTTTCTACCTAGCACCCAAAGGTAGTTTTAGGACACTGAGAAGCTTTATGCTTATTGAGCAGTGTCCTGGTCCTCCCTCTGGATGCGACCACACCTCCTGATTCCTATGCCTGTTATTACAGAGCGCTGGCAACTCTCCACACTCTTAGTGATAGTTCTAGTTGGGTAATGGCAGGGACTCGAGCCACGGACCCTTGGGTCTGTAGTCAGCGCCTCTAACAACTGAGCCATCCTCGCACCGAGGAGCATTTTTTATGCTTTCCTGAATCTTCAGAGGCAAAGTTGAGAGAGGGAAGAACAGGGGTCCACATCCTATGGAAAGCCAAGGTATTACTTTGACATTGAGTTTTCAGGGATCTGGCTTCTCTTAACTCCCCCTCACCCTCACTACGATACTGACCGAGGGAAGAAGAGTAATACTTCAATCATAAATGTTGTGTGATTAAATTTCAATTATTTTGACCCACTCCCTTGTACTTAGTCAAAACTTCTAGTTTGAGGTGTGGAATTGAAATGTAACCCCCTAAGTCAGTTCACTCAGTCAGTTGATTTTAACATAATTCAGTCCACAGAATTATCTCTACGGAGTAAATTCTTGATCCTATAACCATGGTTGAGCACAAGTCAGATACTGTACTTTCTCAAATAATCTTACTTTCTTTGATTCAGACTTTTTTATGCCATTGTTAGTAACCTGCAAGGCCTCTTCTTAGCAGCCCTTCCTTAGGGAATTGAAAAAAAACTGTAGTTTCTCGAAGAATATGCTAGTCGGTAGGTTTTTAATTCTGAGCATCAAGAATTAAAGGGCAAGCAAGGCTTTAGGGCAAGCATAGCTCATTTCAAAATATCGAGTCAAAATACTGAGACATGAGATGACTCCAGGGCCATTCTGTGATAATCTATTGGAGGTGGCCCGTAAAATTGTTATCACAAAGCTTCCAGATTTCATTGAGCAACCCTGAAAAGCTGTGCCTCATATTTCATTTGATGCATTTCCATGCCACCAGAGCTTTTTTCAAATCAGAAGGAGAGTATCATCTAGAGAAACTCAATCTGCTCACAAAATGAACATAACAAAAGTGGTACAGGTTCTCTAATTTAGTTATAGACAGTAACCTTTTCAACTTGTGACAATCAGATGGTTCTGATGCTGACGACCAGCACACAAGTTAAAGTTGTTTTATGAAAACTAAAATCCCAATTCATTAGCATTTCAAAATTCCAATGAAAATGTTGTTTAGGCCAAGATAGGAAAGCAACATTTCAAAAAGGGTTGTCCTTAAAAATTGTCCAGTTCCCAGAAAAATGTGTGTGCAGCCCTATGTTTTTGTGTGCATTAGACGAGCCTTTGAAAAAACGTCACGTGTGTGCACATGCCACACTCTGCATACTGGCCACAGCAAAGTCCGTGAAGGGAGGGGGTACTAGAGGGGCTTTAGCCCATATTGACCCCATAATTCAAATTCTTCCTATTAGACACTTTTAATTGCATCCAAATTTTACCTTCAGACCAGCCATCTCTCTCTTTGCACTTCCTGTTTCCTCTTCCACTTTGTGCTTCTTTGTTATCTAAGGTCCCCTGTGTTTCCGGTTCCCTGGACTTGGCACAAAAGCACAAAAGAGGATCTTTTCCAGTTCAGAGTCTGAAAACACAATCTTTTCCAGTTCAGAGTTCAGAGCCAGTCTATATATTATATCAAAATGAATTTTAAGTCCAAGGGAGGGGGTGAAAGTAAAGGCCAAAACTTAAATAAAGAGGCTGAATTAATGCATGCGATGATTTCACTAATTTTTAGAAGGACATCTTCATCTGCTACAACCGTAAGCCACGTTCTCCTGTATCTTATATAATTGTATCCCAATAAATTTCGAAATCACGTTTAATTTTCACCAAAAAGTCAATTTGCTCCATATGACACGACCGATAATGAACAGCAACAAACGACCCCTTTATAGAAATGACCCCCCGCCCCGCCCGACGCCCTTTGCCTGTGGCATTGAAGGAGAAGGACCGATGCGGAGGACAACGCTCCACCATTGCGGTGACAAGGATCAAGTGACTTGAGCTGGAATTTTATGGCGGCGGGGCTAAGCCGAAGATGAGAGGAAAACTTTGATCGAAGTTGCATGATAATTACAGATTTGCTGCTTACCTTGAACTCCAGCATCCTGTTTTTTGTTTGCAAAATTTACCAACATGCCTGCTGTGAAAGGGGAAGGAATGCGTGGCCTGTCTGTGTTCATTTCAGACATTCGAGGATGTAAGTAGGCCGTCACCATTCACGATATGTGGGGTGATATAAATTGAACTTTCCGCCCACTAAAACAAACCCTCTGCTTGCTGAAACTTTCTGTAGATATCTGGTTTCTAGAATGATAGATTGTTCTGTTGCATTAATGTCTAGCTTGAGATGAAGGGCTTGATATAGCGATCAGAAGAGTAGAACTAGGAAAGGGTTGGGCATTCGGGCAACTTGGCAGTACGTGGATTCCATTTGAAGTTGCCAGGCCAATTGCAATCGCTTTGATGTTGCAATCGCCTTGATGAAAATGAAGTTAGGTTATTTTCATTTCTGTTTGAGAAAACTTATAACCCAGCTATTTGCTCAGAATCCCTAAAACGTGTGTCCGTAGAAGCGTGTGTAAGCGGTTCATGCAGTGTTTGAATCGACCATGAGCTCACAACACAATAAAGGAAGTACCAATGCATGCGAAGATTGATAGATCGACTTGCCTTTTATTGTTTTTTTATGTGTAGCATGTTTTCAATTGTACTCGTGTTTTTTAGATATTATCTTTATGCATTGCATTCTAGTATAAATAAACATATTTTTGTAAGAGGGCTTTAAAACCTACAGCAGAATCTTTTTTGACTGCTTGGTTGCTTATTAGGAAATGTTAGATATTGTCAGCTGTGCATTATGTTCATATCTCTCAAGAAAGATATGTGTGATTTTGAAAAAAGAGATAAACAATAGAGTTATGCATTTTTTTACATTTATCTTATGTTAGGGCATTTATCTACTCGCAATGATGAAAATATTTACATTTTAAAGGTAACTTATGGAAATAGGTGTAACTCCTAAAGACAGTTAGATTGATTGAAGAATGAGAAGTAATAATATTGTTTTTAAATGAAGGATTGTGATAGTTTAGTATATTCCTTTTGACTTAAACTACTATCATTGTCCCATTTATAGAAAGCGGAGTTTCATTTTCGGTATTATTTATTTTGATATCTTTGAAGTGCTGAAATATCTTAATGTATACTTTAGGAGGGCCTCTCTCCTCGACTAACTTCGCTACTGAGAGAGTTCCTCCTTTAAATAA